TTAAAGCACCAGTTTTCCTATTAACCAGAAGACCTGTGAGTGCATTTTTATTTTTATTTTTGTTTATATATATAAATATATATATCCATATATATATATATATATATTTATACATCTCTATGTGTGTGTGTATATGTGCACGCCTGGGGAGGGTGTACATGTTCCAGGGGGTCCAAGCAAATGCTTTGCCCAGGGTCCAATCAATATTAAAAATGACCCTGGGAATAATCAACCTTCTATATATGTTATATATAACTAAAGGAACCTGGCCTTTGGTACTGGTAATTCTACTGTGTCCACGTCTGAATTAATCTGTCCTTTACACTGTTTACCACCATCCCCAAGATGTAATGTCATAAATTGAGCGAGCAGCCAGCAGAGATGCCTGCATAACCTTAACTGGGCTTAATGTTCTGTAAACAATGTTTAAATGAACATTTTTTCCCCATCATTATGAGTTTCTCACAGTGAGTTGCCTACTGTACATCCACTCACAACCATTATATGCTTATTCAAAAATGCTTTCTGCCCTTTAAATCTGTCAAACGAAACCCAGCCCCCATTGTAAAAAAATAAGAAAACTAAATGTAACAGTAAACTTATATATATATATTTATATATATATATATATATATACATTCGATTTAATTACAAAACACCCTTTGCTAAGGACAGGGAAAAAAAACAACAAATGCATTTCTTTCATTTGCAATCTTCATGGAATCAGCTAGTATTTCGAGAAACTTGTATATAAAATAGAATTCTGTCATCCTTCAGTTTCGGCCTAATAAATATGGATCACAGCAGAAAAAAAGAATAGCAAACCACAAATGTTTGTTAATTGTCTTCAAGATGAAGATTTTAGTGGTTGTTATTGGATGTTTAATCTGGTTTTAGAACATTCTTTCATTTAGAACTTTCCTTTCCTCAGCACATGTCCTATTATTGTTCCAGTTAAACAGTTAGTCCTGTCATGGTTGATAATATGCCTTTCAAGGTTATGTACACACCATTTACAATTCTCACTCAATCCCAGCCATCCATTATTCAACAAATATATTCACTAACAAGGATAACCATCATTGATGTAGGCCAGATTTCTACACACCTACTTATTTTGGTATTCTCACAGTCTATTGCATTCTTATATCATTAAGTTTGTTTAAAGTAGTCATGTGTATTATTAATAAGTACATGTTGGTACACTGGCTAAAATACCCCTGTTAAATCAATCAAGTTTGGTTAGTAAACCAACACCACAAGCCAGTCTAGTAGGATGTAAATATAAAAATGTATATACATATCTTACTTACCTATCTCTTTGTTTTCAATGTTAAATAAAACAGTGGACCACAACTTCCAGTAGACATTTTGCTGCTGGTACTTTTGTGACTTTCAAATTCATGGAGAATGCTACCTACCTTCAATTCACAACCTGATGTTTCGGACTGAGCTGTCCATGTACCAACACCTTTTGTTGTTTTCACCAAGACCTCTCAATGGAGTACAGAGGAATCCAATTGTGGCAGCTTCGCATCTGATTTCATCTTCATATGACACTTCTGCTACAGATAGGAAGTCAGCTTGATAAAGATCCAAACGTTGCTGGATCTGTATGTTTTCCCAATAAATCTGCGGATGTATGAAGACCTTGAGTGCCTGGACTACTTTGCTGTTACTATACTGATAGAAAGACAGGCATTGCTGGAAACTGTGGTGTCTGAAGAGAACCTGCCGCAGGATGGAATTGGATTGAGGTCTGAGTACGTGAATTCCGCCTGCATGGACATGGCATCATTACAGGTCTCCAAAGTTACTTTCAGTTGGATCTCCAGAACTACACATAGAAAAAAATGTAGGCAACTTGACAATGTTAACCATATTAATGTAAAAAGTTGAGATGTAAAGGGAAAAGGCAAAAGTCTGTCTATTTTGAGACCTGAGCAGGGATTTACTAAAGGGCAAGCTACTGAGTTCCTCTAAGCTATTGTTCGTTCTCAGAGTGCTCATATTCTCTGTTTCAGAAGCCTGTCTCTAGCCTGGACTTCAACAATAAGACACCCTTTCAGCATTCCTAACCAACTCTGAACCATGATCTATGGTCACATAATGTTCCTGACTGTCCTATTGTTATATGCTATCATTTACATGAAATAACCTGAAAGGTCCACGAGGGGACACTAACAGCAGGAGCTCCACTAATGTAAGAAAGAGGGGAAAACAAAAGGGAGGGGGTCCCTGAGGGTGGGGGCACCCTCAGGGCCAGGGCCGGACTGGGGATTCCAAAGCAGCCCTGGAAAAAAAATCTATGCCAGCCCCATAAGTCATTGCGCCATATATTGTCGCGTGTAATATGTAAGGCTATGTCTTGCCACCCTAGATGATTGATATATATATTGCTTTTTCCAATATAAAATATTGGTCCTTTCAGAGTAAAATTTTTAATTATACAGTAAGCATACTCACATGCAGACACTGACAATCTCACTGACATAAGCTGATTGATAGACAAACAATCTCACTGATATACATAAGGTCATTGCCATAAAAACACAAGCTCGCTCAGTAGCAGGCACACACACACGCGCGCACACACACACAGCTTAATGTAGTGGTTCTGGTGTCTATAGCCTGTCCCTGCAGACTTTTCAATGTAAACACTGACTTTTTAGAGAAAAGGCAGTATTTACATTGCTTCCTAGTGACAGACACTCAGACGGTCACTAGAGGTGCTTCCTGTGTCAGTGTGGATTGGCTAAGATCATCAAGCTTGATGATCTCAGCCATAGAGGCAGGGCCAGCACGACGTGGGAGGGGAAAAGGTGAGTAAAAACACACATACCATGACAGACACACACCATGACACAGACAGACACAGACACAGACAGACCGTGACACAGACACACACACACCGTGACACAGACAGAAACACAGACACACCATGACAAATACAGACACACACCATAACAGAGACACACACATACCATGACAGACACACACACATACCATGACAGAAACACACCATAACACAGACAGACTGTGACACAAACACACACTGTGACACAGACACACATTAAATGACACAGACTGACACACACACCATGACACACAGACACCACGACACAGAGAGACCGTGACACAGACACACACACACACCATGACAAACACAGACCATGACACAGACAGACACACATTACATGACAGACACACACACACACAATGACACAGACACACATTGCATGACACAGACACACACCATGACGGACAGAGACACACACACACACACCATGACACGGACAGACACACACACACACACCATGACACAGAGAGACACACCATGACAGAGACACACACACACACCATGACACAGACAGACACACACACAGCATGACACAGACACACACACCTTGACAGACAGAGACACACACACACACAATGACACAGACAGACACACACACACCATGACACAGACACAGATACACTCACACTGACACACATAATTTCTACCTTTGTGCTGGCGGCCGCAGAGGGAGCTCTTCTGGCGGCCGCAGGGGGGAGCTGGCTGTTCTGTCTCTGCTCCCCCTCCCCAGCGCTCCGCTTAATGAGACCGCGGCCGGAATATGATGTCATATTCCAGCCCCGGTCTCTTTGTAGTGCGCTGGTGAGGGGGAGCAGAGACAGAACAGCCAGCTCCCCCCTGCCGCCGCCAGAAGAGCTCCCTCTGCGGCCGCAGGTGAGCCAGCTGCCTGCCTGGCCCCAGGTGCCGACGGCCCACCGAGAAATTTCCCGGTATCCCGGTGGGCCAGTCCAGCCCTGCTCAGGGCACTATAGTGCCAGGAAAACGAGTATGTTTTCCTGGCACTATAGTGGTCTTTTAAGGGAGAGCCGGTTTTGAGGGTTTTTTATTTTATTTCAGACTAGATTTCCCAGCCTTTTTCTGTGTACCTCTTATTTATTTCTCCCTCACCAAAAGATTGCCTCCAGCACTGTACCTGCAATTCCAACTGCAACATCCATCTTCTGATATTCGGAGTTGGAGGCAACATTTATACCAACATGTAGAAATGACTGTTTTATGGATTGTAAGACATTATTAACAAACCCATTTGGTATTAATTATGAGTATGAGTAGGTGGTATTTCATGTTAAAGGTAAACTCTAGGTATTAAAGCAACTTAAGCTTAATGAAACTGTTTTTTTTTTTTTATAGATCCTGTTTCACTGCTCCATTCTCTGCCATTTAGATGTTAAATCACTTTTGTTTCTGTTTATGCAGCCATACCAACAGCTCCCCTATCTTTGATGCTTGCATGAAAAAAGATGGTTTTAATTTCAATTAGATGTGATAAAAGTATCCCCTGCTCTGTAAAATATACTTTAATCACACACTGGAGGCTCCTGCAGAGTCTAGAAAGCTGTTACAGAGCAGGATATGGTAATTTCTAAATTAAGCAGACTGTGCTATACAGGACATTTTAACATAAGATCTCTCTTTACAGGAAGTGTTTAGGAATGCTATGCAAGAGACATGCAGGGAGGTGTGGCTAGGACTGTATAAACAAAGTTATTTAATTCCTAAATGACAGAGAATTGAGCAGTGAGACTACAGGTACATGATATATACACCAAAACGGCTTCATCAAGCTAAAGTTGTTTTGGTGCCTATAGTGTCCCTTTAAATAGCCCAGTTTTAACTGGCTAGCAGAGTAGAAACACCCGGATATTTCAAAACTACAAGAGCATCTTTTAAATATTTATTAAAGTAATTTACAGGGTAAAGTACTCACTAATGCCTTCCTCTATATTACCACATATGTTCACAGGGTTCACATCTTGCGGGAGACCAGAGATTCAGTATAATAAATTCAAAGAACATATAAGTTGAACATATATGTGCAACCATCATTTTAGCCAACGTACTGTACAATCTTCATGTTAAGATTTAGAATGTCTGCAGTCTATAGAAAAATTCTATAGTTTCCTGCTCTCTTTTCCTAGGCTCACAGACAGCTGCTGTTTAGGCCATTTGTCCTAATTTCTGAGTTAAACGACAATCCATTGTAAGCCTGTATTCCTTGCAGTTCTTGATTCAAAACCATCATTTTCTTAGCACGAAATGAGGATATTGAGCAGCGGAAGGAGCCAGTCACTGTTGAACTAGTGTCAGGGTCTGGCGTCCTCCCTCCTTTACAGTAGCGCTGAAGGCCTTTACGAAAATGTATGGTAAAAAGTCCATAAGTAATGGGATCCAAGCAAGCATTGACTAAGCCGAAGATGAAAAGAATGTGGGTTAACGACTGCGAAACTTTCTCTTCCATTATTTCAGGATAGAACCAGTACCATAAGCCCAGTAGATAGTAAGGTGTCCAACATATGATAAATGAGCTTACAATTACGATGCTCATCTTCAGTGTCCTCATTCTTGCTTTTGGGATGTTGTTCTTGGAGCGACGTAAGTAAACTTCCTTTGAGGAAACTAAAATGGAAGAAATAGAAATTATTCCATATAATTATTTTTGGAAATTTATGAGATTTTAAATACAAATTGACTTTGTGGTTAAAACATTCCAAAACGGTTTAACCTCATAAGATAAGACAGTGCCCAGGTCCTCTAGACTTCACAACAACTGCAATAAGATGAAGTTGCTATGGTGCCTGGAGTTGTGTTTGATTCATATCTGTACTCAACATACATAAGATATGTTTGCTTGACGTTTGTCACTTAAAGAAAGATAAGTAATCATCTTATTCTGTGCTCTAAAGATTAAAGGGATACTATAGGTCAGGGATAGGCAACATTCGGCACTCCAAATGTTTTGGACTACATCTCCCATCATTCCTTTACAGTCTTAATTCTGGCAAGGCATCATGGGAAAAGTAGTCCATTATAGGACTTAGAATACAAATTGATTTTGCGATTAAAACGTTCTAAAACGGTTTAACCTCATAAGGTAAGACAGTCCCCATGTCTTCTAGACTCCACAACAACTGCAATAAGATGACGTTGCTATGGTGCCTGGAGTTGTCTTTTATTCATATCTGTACTCAACATACATACGATATGCTTGTTTGACATTTGTCACTTAAAGAAAGAAAAGTGATCATCTTATTCTGTGCTCTAAAGATTAAAGGGATACTATAGGTCAGGGATAGGTAACCTTATGCACTCCAAATGTTTTGGACTACTTCTCCCATCATCAACTTACAGTTGTAATGCTGAAAAGGCATCATGGGAGAAGTAGTGCCAAAGATTGTCTACCCCTGCAATAGGCATTAATACAAGTTTAGCCTAGTGAAGCAGTCTTAGTGTATAGATCATGCCCCTGCAGCCTCACTGCACAATTTTCTGCTTCTAAGGAGTTAAATCACCTCTGTTTCTGCCTATGCAGCCCTAGACGCACCTCCCCTGGCTGTAACTCACATAGCCTGCATGAGAAAAAAATGGTTTAATTTCCAATCAGATCATAACTTACTTTAGAAGCTATAATCTCCTTCTTTGTCATTTGAACTTTAATCGTACACAAGAGCCTCCTGCAATGTTTAAAAGGCTATTAACAGATTAGGAGATAAGAAATTCTAAATTAAACAGTGCAATAAGAACATTTATGTGGATAAGTGCAAAATAATGCATCTTGGACATACAAACCCAAGGGCATAGAATAGAATATTTGATAAGGGTCCTAACCTCAACATCTGAGGAAATGGATTTAGGGTTAATTATTTTAGATGACTTAAAGGTAGGCAGTCAGTGTAATAGAGCAGCAGGGAATGTTAGCAGAATGCTTGGTTGTATAGGGAGAGGTATTAGCAGTAGAAAGAGGGAAGTACTCATGCCATTGTACAGAACTTGGAGTATTGTATGCAGTACTGGAGACCGTATCTCCAGAAGGATATTGATACTTTGGAGAGAATTCAGAGAAGGGCTACTAAACTGGTTCATGGATTGCAGGATAAAACTTACCAAGAAAGGTTAAATAAACTTAACATGTATAGCTTGGAGGAAAGACGACACAGGGGGGATATGAGAGAAACATTTAAATACATAAAGAGAATCAACACAGTAAAGGAGGAGACTATATTTAAAAGAAGAACTACCACAACAAGAGGACATAGTCTTAAATTAGAGGGACAAAGGTTTAAAAATAATATCCAAAAGCTGACGTGGTAGAGGTTAACACAGAGAGGGAATTTAAGCATGTGTGGGATAAGCATAAGGGTATCCTAGATATAAGAGACAAGTAAAAGTATTGTCACGGCTGCTAGTGTGGTCCAACACGCAGAAACTATGTAAACCTATACAAAGAAATAAGAAAGGAAATAAAAGGATAAGATAGAAGGTAAACCGGACCTTAGAATGGCCGGACTAATACGTTGGAGACAGAGAATGGTCAAAGGGAAAACCGAGGTCAAGGAAGCCAGAAATACACAATACCATTTCAACAAGCTAAGTCAGGGGAACCAGAAATCGGAATAACCAGGAATAGCCAAGATCAGAATACCAGAATATCAATATCACAAGGAAAAACGCACTCTCAGGAAACCAGGAACGAGAAACCACGACAGGGCAAGGTACTGGGGTGAATTAGGGATTTAAATATCCCTTTCTAAGCTCTGATTGGTCAGAGGGTGACCTCTGACCCCAGAACGTGCGCGTGCGTTGACGTTGTGACTTCACGCGCACGTTCGTATAATTTTGGGGGGTGGAGCCATGGATGGACGCTACCTCATGGTCAGCGCCATCTTGGATTTCCCTGAGCGGCGTGGAGGAGCGGTTCCCGGCTCGCCGATGAGCAGGTAAGCTCAGTGAGTTGGTGCGGTCGTGCCGGTTGGGCACGGACGCACATGGCGAGCCGGTGGCCGTGACAAGTGTTATGGGCAAATGCAAATATTACAAGTTTTAGAATGAAATGTTGTATTTCTTAAACTGTGTACTTTGTCTTTAAGAGATATTGCAAATTGACAAGGTGTTAGAAATGGAACATATTGTTTTTCATAGATGTTTCTTTAAGCAATACCCTCAGTGCATAATATGTTTGCGCCATTTTATCCCAGACGATTACAATAACAATAATGCATAAACAAGCTTCAAGGCTATACTACGACTCTTTCAGTACACAATATACTGTGGTAACCCCAAGTTAATGGAACTTCCTCAAATCCGGGAATCTCCCACGACTATGCACTTACGTCTTACTATAAACAACAGATAAGCTATTCAGACTTTAAGATGCCATCTTGAACTAAGTCAAGAAAATTTCCATGATGTATGCACCCTTTATTTATGGCCTTGTATGTTTGCCAAATTAAGGGAGGTCCTAAAATGAATAAAGTAAAAGAAGTGTTACTTTTTCATATATGAACTACGGTGACCCTAAAATGACGACACCTAAGGTATAAATAGGTGTACTTTTAAAATGTTAAGACACAGAGGAGAAACTTGGAGACAGACAGACATTGATAAGAGTCTTAAAATGACAGAGAGGCTGACATGATGACATGTTCAGAAAGGTATGTTAACCTATTAATGATATTTGCAAGCATTTAGTTTAATCTTATAAACTCTGCTATAATGGATTTCATATGTCTATATTTATATTTTTATATAATAAATATCAAAAAGATAAAACTTTATTGCTTCCAAGACAACCCTTATTTTATATTGTATTCTCAATTATTTATATATGTTAAATAGAGGATCTCTTACTAACTATATAAAATTATGGCTTAGATATCTGTATGGTTAGCCCTACAAAGTTCTATGCTTTAAGACATTATAGTGGTAAATAAGGGAACCAGACGCGGTTACACAAGTATTTAGTAAATTAGGCAGAATAGATGGGCCAAATGGTTCTTATCTGCTGTCACATTCTATGTTTCTATTAGATCTCTCTTTGCTGGAAGTGTTTAGTAAGGCTGTGTCAGTAACATGCAGGGAGGTGTGACTACGGCTGGATACACCAAAACTGCTTCATTACCCTAAAGTTGTTTTGAGGACTATAGTATTCCTTGATATTGGCCTCATATAAAATGTGTGATGACATCTACACCCCAGGATATACTGAACAACTAGCAAAAAGCTAAATGTATTATTTGTTGCAAAAGCCATAAGGTATCTCACACACCACGATGCCTTGATCAATAGCCTATTTTACACCACTGTTCATCCATACAAAATCTGAAGGCTTGCAATGAGCACTAAAATTATTTTTGCAATAAATCTTTTACAAATAGCCTCTGACTCTTCAAGCAATGATGGACACTAAAATGCACATGGTTGAGTTGTCCATCTATGCTAATAAATAAACGTTTTGCAATTTTTAAGCACATATATATTAACATATGTCATGTTCCCGACACCAGAAAATGAAATAGAAACCTTACTTATGATAAATCTGTTTTTGTTTTTTGTTATGTGATGTTTACGGATTTTCTATTTTATTTCAGTAAAGAGTTAACTTTGAACCCGAGATTTGACTCATCTCACCATAGATGATTTTAATAAATATAGAGCGCAGCTATTTACTAAACTACATGGTGTAGGGGCATTGTGCTGTGCTTATAACCTGGATATGATAAATTACTACATATAAAGAGTTTATAAACCATTTCGAATGAGGGGGCAGATTAATATTCACTTATCAGAAGAACATGATACACAAGACACAACCTGGAACTGGAATCATCTGCAATTTCCTACAGTTCTGCCTGAGGTAGTGAACTATACAACAGGCTAAGTGTTAGTGCTGAATACGTGATGACTAACACAGTCCCCTGAGAAAATTACTGAACATTATGCTACTCTCTATATATTTTATATTCCATTTCATTCCATTCTCTGTCACCTTTTAGTCTAACACACTTTCTTTAATATTAGCACTTGCAGATTATACTTTGCCGGTGATTCTTTTCTTTCTCAGATTTCAAAAATATGCTATGAAAAAATACAGGGTTTCAAGCTGAGACTTTATACTTATGGGGGACTTCAACTGTTATAAAGATCGACCATTCCTGACATAGAATAGTTGGAGTGGTACGTGAACCACAGATGTTTGACTACACCTGATGTACAGCATGACGTGAGACTTCATTAAGATTATTTTTCTACTAGTCGATGGGAACATATATAATGCAGGAAAGGAAATATACTTTTACTTCACTGTCAGATCCTTCAATCATCAGGCAAGAAGATGATTATTGTGTCATCTAATTTATTCTGCAAAACATAAATTAACAAATAGAATTCATCTTCTATGATATCTTGAGCTATACAGGCAAACTGGGTTAAATTGTACCCAAATGTCACCATTGCAATGCCTAGAATCAAATGAGTAGGAATGGCAGAAAAAAAACTGGGAGTCGTAACGGAAAGATACCAGGTGTGGAGTGGGATAAAGGGATGTCTATTTAACGTCAAAAAAGGAAGGAAATAGGCACTCACTATAGTATTTAACACAGGATGGATATGGGCTGCAGTAACTGGTTCAAGGATTCCCAAACCTTGTAATTAGTAAAATATGAAAGGGGATGGGAAAACTGTGCCCAAAAGTTTGTGTACAGACATGTATACGCACATAGATCTTTTAACGTTGTATACACAGTTGACCTCAAAGATACAAAAAGACAAAATAAATAATAGTGCAGTATAGTATGTACAGTGAATAAGTGGTGGATAATCTTGTGTAGTTTTTTTAGTATATACCCATGTTGTATATACTAGAGCAAGTTCTGCTCTGGTAAATGTAAGTACACTACTTTAATTTTTCATTCAAATATCTACCAGTACTTACTTCACCATTGGAGTATCTTTTTTTTGTTTTAACTCCTATATATGTTCTGCATACTGCACCTTATTTGAGGCACCTGAGACGTTCATATAATCATTTTTCCTTACAAGGGGATTGTTCCGTCCATGCGCAATACAGCCAAGCTCTGAATTAGCTAAAAAAAAATGTGAGTGAAAACTACACAAGTTAATCCACCACTTAATCACTGTACCTACTGTACTGCACTATTATTTATTTTGTCATTTTTATCTTTGAGGTCAACTGTGTATACAACTTTAAAAGATCTATGTATGTATTAATTTCTGTACACATACTTTTGGGCGCGGTTTCCCCTACTCATTTCATATATCACTTATATAATTCTACTCAAACCTTTTCGTATACTGCCTTGCTGCTTACTTTATGTTGATTTAAAGGTCTGTGGCTTGTAACAGTCTATCGCTTATAAAATTCTTGTTGAAAAATTTTAGGTTTATAAATATAGAAGTGAACATTGAGATAACATTGCAATATACATGCCACGCACCTCCAGGTTACATTTAGAAAATTAAATAATCTGAACCATTTAAAGGAACACTGTAGTCACCATAACTACTTCATCTAAAGTAGTTATAGTGTCTGCAGTCCCATGACAGACATACTGACAGACACATACACTGACAGACATACAGACACATATTGACAGGCATACTGGCGCACATAGACACATACACTGACACACATACTGACACTCACAGACACATACAATGAAAGAAAGACAAACACACAGAGACATACACACTCACTGACAAACATACAGACACGTGTACTGACATGAACACTGACAGAAATACAGACACATACACTGACAGACATACAGGCGCACATAGACACATACACTGACATATATACTGACACACTGACAGACATACTGACAAACACAGATATATACACTGACAGACACATAGACACACACACATTGACAAATACACAGATACATATACACTGATATACTGACAAACACAGAAACATACACTGACAGACAAGCTGAAACACACACAGACACATACACTGACAGACATGCTGACACACACACACAGACACATACACTGAGAGACATGATCACACAGACACTGAGAGACATGCTGACACACACACACAGACACTAGCATACATACTGACACGCAATATTTACATTTGTAAATCCACCCTCCAGTTTCCTACCTTTTGCTGGATGGTGGGTTCCCTGGCGTCCAGTGTGGTGCCTGAGAATAGAGGGAGTTGGGTTCTGGTTTTCCAGCCCCCTCCTCACTCCCTAGTCCGACCTCCCGCACAGCTCGGTTTTCTCTGGGAGGAAGTGACTCACAGCAGTCACTTCCTCCCATTCTGCCGAGAAGCAAGGGGCCCAGTCACGTTGTTAAAGGGCAGGGCCGCCATCAGGGGGTGACAACCATAATGGTTTTCACGGGCCCGGACTGCTTTCACAATTACTCTCTGCACCTATAGATAGCGATGATCGCTATCTATAGGTGCAGCCGCTGGCCCCCCCCAGCTCCCCTATATTTGCAGAGGGGGCCCAGCGGACTGCAGCTGTACTTTACAGCATTTCCCTCGCTCTAACTCCTGCGAGACGTGCGGCCGTTAGAGCATTGCCATGGGTTACCATGGCAACACTCCGCGCGGTGCGCACATCACATCTCGCAGGTTGTCATGGGCCCGGCAGTCCTGGGGGGTCCGGACTGCTTTCACAATTACTTTCTGCACCTATATATAGCGATGATGTAAAGTACAGCTGCAGTCCGCTGGGCCCCCTCTGCAAATATAGGGAGCCGGGGGGCCCCACAATGCCACCAGACCACCAGGGATCATGGAATCTCCCCCCTCCCAGAACCAGGTAAGAAACAGGGAGGGGGGAATAACAGTTATTACATTTACATGCATACACTACTAAACACACACACACACTGCATCCACTGCACTAACACACACACTGCATTCACTGCACTAACACACACACACTGCATTAACTGCACTAACACACACACTGCATTCACTACACTAACACACACACTGCATTCACTACACTGACACACACACTGCATCCATTGCACTAACACACACACACTGCATCCACTGCACTAACACACACACTGCATTCACTACACTAACACACACTGCATTCACTGCACTAGCACACACACTGCATCCACTGCACTAACACACACATTGCATTCACTACACTAACACACACACTGCATCCACTGCACTAACACACACACTGCATTCACTACACTAACACACACTGCATCCACTGCACTAACACACACACTGCATTCAGTACACTAGCACACACACTGCATTCACTACACTAACACACACACTGCGTTCACTACACTGACACACACTCTGCATTTACTACACTGACACACACACTGCATTCATTACACTAACACACACACTGCATCCACTACATTAACACATACACACTGCATTCACTACACTAACACACACTCTGCATCCACTGCACTAACACACACACTGCATTCACTGCACTAACACACACACTGCATCCACTGCACTAACACACACACTGCATTCACTGCACTGACACACACACTGCATCCATTGCACTAACACACACACACTGCATCCACTGCACTAACACACACACTGCATTCACTACACTAACACACACTGCATTCACTGCACTAGCACACACTGCATTCAGTACACTAACACACACACTGCATTCACTACACTAACACACACACTGCATTCACTACACTGAGACACACACACTGCATCCACTGCACTAACACACACTGCATTCACTACACTAACACACACACTGCATTCATTACACTGACACACACTGCATCCACTACACTGACACACACTCTGCATTCATTACACTGACACACACACTGCATTCATTGCACTAACACACACTCTGCATTCATTACACTAACACAGTCTGCATTCATTGCACTGACACGCAGTCTGCAGTCATTGCACTGACACACACACTGCATTCATTACACTAACACACACTGCATTAATTGCAGGGGGGAGGCCGGCCGGGCCAGGGGGTGGGGGAGGCCCAGACCTTGTACTTTGTCAGGGGCTCCAGAATTTCTGGTGGTGGCCCTGTTAAAGGGCCACAGCGCACAACCGGGCCCCTGCTGACAAATGCTCACCGGGTTGCCCGGGCTGCACCGGTGGCCCAATGGATAAAAAATATTGTGGGCAGCGGGGCCCATGAGGCAGCTGCTTTCGGCCCCATAGGAGTAACAAAACCCGGGTATACCACTGCAGGTATGAATTTATATGGCTACAAAGAATTGTAGCCATATAAATTCAGGAGACCAGGGACCCTCAGTCAGTGTTAAAATGCTTGAAAATAGTTTACCACGAAATGGAGGGACAGTGCCAGGACAGGACTACAGGCACTGCAACCAGTTCAATGAGGTGAAATGTTTATAGTCTAAAGTGTCTTTTAAAGGGGAACTGCAATTGTATCTAATCAGAAAGTTAGATACTGATTTGCTGATTACTTTTAAAATGCGGCTATTTTGGTTTTAAATGTGCTATTCTTTTGTTAATTATCCCAGCTCTGTGTATAGACCCACAGAGACGCCAGGAAGTAGGTTAATATAGCTTGTCGGGTTAGATATAAATATTATTTGTGTGGCCAAATAAGACCCCTAGGATTCAGTAAGGGCTTAAAACCTTTTAAAACCAACATATAGAGGTTGCATGAACACAGCTGGTTTTTATATTCATTATGCAGCAACATTGAACTTGTGATGACCCATATAATTATTGTATTGTGGTGAAACACACTACCTACTTAGTGAATGTTCCATGGTCGTCATGCATGAACCATGGTTTTTGGCAAAATATCTGCTCTATTATTATACCTCTCTTTATACACTTTTTCTCATTTCTAACTACTACCCTTTCTTATTTATATATGGGGGATACCATACATGGTGATCCCTATTGTAAAGAACTGTGTCCCAAAAGACCATAATCACTGCCAGAGACTTTCTTTCCTCTCCTAGTTCCCCTCAGTTGCATGCCTCCCAACCAGAAACCCCTTTCCCTTGCCCATTTGCTTACTTCAGAGAGTCGGGAAAAAAATAACACCTCCAGCGGGAGCTACTGACATTAGCTCTGGAACTCTAGCTCGGCTACTCTCAGCGCCTCAAGCCAGACATATTAACTCTCTGTTTTCAACCCTTTCCCATCCTATGAAGGTGCTTTTTGGAGGGAAGTTACTACCCATCTCAGTGACCATCCGCTCCCTATGAGCAGGGGGGAGCTCCCCTTTCCTGAGCAGCTAGAGCTCCCGGTAAAAGACCGATATGCTGCATCTATAACAGTGATGGCGAACCTATGGCACGCGTGCCACAGGTGGCACGCCGGGCCCTCTCTGTGGGCACGCGGCCATAGGTTTGCCATCACTGCAGAGTAGGCGTCTGCCTGCCCGAAACGGCAGGCGCCTACTCTGCTTCCGTGTCGGCAGGACCGGAAGCAGGGAGGAAGGATCGAGGAAACAGCTCTCCTGTCCTCCCGCGAGCTGTGTGGATCGTTGCCGCTCGTTACCATGGCAACGCTCCACACAGCATCGCGCAGGAGGACGGGAGAGCTGCAGGACTTGTCATCCTGTCCTGCATACCACCACCAGGGATGGCTGTGTCCTCCACCTCCCCTTCACCAAAGGTTAGAAGAAGGGAGGGGGGGGGTACTGATTTAATAACCTATCACCCCTACCCACAGAACCCTTACCCCCAGCACCCCCACTACCCCCAGCACCCCTACCCACAGAACCCTTACCCCCAGCACCCCCACAGCACCCCTACCCCCAGCACCCCTCCCCTACCCCCAGCACCTACCCCTCCCATCAGCACCCCTACTCCCCTATCCACAGCACTCCCTACCCACAGAACCCTTACCCCAGCACCCCACTGCCCACAGCGCCTGCCACACACAGCGCCCCTACTCCCCTACCCACAGCACTTACTCCCCTACCCACAGCCCTTACCCCCACCAGGACCCGCCCTTACCTGGCACCCCTGCCTCTTGCCACATCACCCCTGCTCCCCTGCCAGCACCCCTACCCTCCTCTACCCCCCAGCACCCCACCCCTACCCCCAGCACCCCTACCCACACAGCACCCTTTCCCCCCCACACACACAGCACCCTTTCCCCCCCACAGCACCCCACACACAACATTACACACAGACACATACACTGCACCCCTCAATGCAGTATATGTGTGTGTTCAGCAGTCTTTATGTATTCAGCAGTGTGTGTGTGTATTCAGCAGACTGCGTGCGTGTATTCAGCAGACTGCGTACTCAGGAGTGTGCGTGTATTTAGCGGACTGTGTGTGTATTTAGCAGTCTGTCTGTGTCTCGGTGTGTGTATGTATTAAGCAGTTGGTGTGTGAATGTGTTCAGCAGTCTGTGTGTATGTATTGCATTTGTTGGAGATACTAATATAAGCTTAATTTATATCATTATTTAAAATTTGTATAATTTAACTCTCTGTTGTGTTCTTCTTTTAAAACAAAAGTTGTTAACTGTACGAGTAGTTTTTTCTAAACGTAAACCTCAGTATTCAGGTTTAATTGCCATGTTGGCACTTTGAGGGAAAAAAAGTTGGCATGTATTGCGGTTTGGGCACTCGGGCTCAAAAAGGTTCGCCATTACTGATCTATAACATGGAACTATTTTCAGCCAAGACTTTTGGAGCGGCCAATCAAAAGTTTAACTGGGTGGTGTTTCTTCTGTGGGCATGGGATCAGAGCCCTATTTTCAGTGATTGGGTGCTGGGGATACTACATCTGTGGGGGTTCTTACTGATTTTACATTGTATTTTGGGTTATTTGTGTAAGCGCTCTCTGTATCCAGTAGATAATTGGTTTATCTGAGAGCTGACTCAATCATCTCCTAAACACAGAGGCACCTGGGAGGGCATGATGCATGATGAGTAGAGACCACAAGCTGGGGGTCTGTTTATAAAACCTTGCGCTTTTCCCAATAAACACACAATATATTTCACCTTTCAAAAGTCTAGGCTGATGTTTGGGTGGGAGCTATAGAGACTTTTATTCTGCAGGAATAGGAAGAACCTCTCAACCGATATACTCAGTCTAGGTATAGGGGAATGCGTCACACCTATATATATATATATATATGCAACACATTTTAATGTTCCTTTTAAAAAGTAATGTAAAAAAAATTATGTTTAATACTTTAGCACCTATCATAAAGTGACATTTATTTATACTTTAAACTCTAAATGGCACATGTAGACACACTGGCCAATTCATTTTTCTTATAATATCAACACAAATTGGAAAAAAAACACATTTCTTTTGCATTTATTTTTACAAGCTGCGATGTGAGTAACTCTTTTCTATTTTAAACAAATCTAATTCAACGTTCTTTTCATAACAATGAAGACTTTTGATACTTGTCCTTCTGCGAATAAAAACTGCGTTATAAAGGGATAATGACTTGAGGAATAAACAATGCACTATACAGGTGTAATAATGGCTTTGGTCCACACATCTCTAAGGAAACCATTATAATTAGAAAGCCAACTGATGATGAATTCACTAAAAGAGATCCAAAGTGTTTCATTTAACAGCTGGGCCATACAGTTGAACACATGGCATATTTAAACAGAGCAAATAATGTAAGATAACGGAATAACAGTAAATCTTGAGAGTACTTACTTGTTCCTTTGCTCATCCGTCTAGAGATTTCAAGCAGGATCCTTGAATAACAGGAGATCATGATCAGCAGTGGGAGAAGGAACAGACAGACGAAGCTCACCATATTGTACACCGTTTCTTGCCAATGTTCTCGGAAGTTCCCCCTGGTAGTACATTGAGTGAAATGTTGTGGTTCAGTAATGGTGACCGTGTGGAATAGGAAAAGCTAGAGAAAAGGGAAATAAAAGAAAACAACACGGATGATACTTTTTAAAATTCAATTACGTGTTATAGAAATCTGACTGGATACATGATGGAAATAATTATTGTTATATAATGCTATTCATTGTCAAACAATTCTGTTCCATGGACACAAAGCAAAATCTGTGTCCAATAATATCTTAAAATAAAAGAATGCAAAATAAACCCATACAAATTATATATATATATATATATATATATATATATATATATATATTTATTGAATGGGATTACTTTGAATTATTTTATTTTAAGATATTATTAGACACAGATATTGTTTGTGTGTGTGTGTATATATATATACTAAGATAGCCATATTGTAATGTTTGAAGTACATCTAGGAGACTAGGACCTCCTGCTTTGGATCTATAGAAGGGGTGTCCAAAAGTTAGATCCACATGACTGCTGACCCAACCAATCCACCAACAACCACCCGTTGCCCCCCAATAACACTCAGGACACATCGTTCTAGTGGATAAGGGCAACGGCCACAGCTTTATTTAAATTAACAGTTTAAATCAGTCCAACTCTGCCAGCTGTTGGGTGTTTGCCCAACAGGCAGTTCTCACACGCATTTTGCACCATGAGCCTCGACAGCCAGCTCCTCGCCATCAGCTCCGTGCCGGCTGTCGTCTCCCCAATGTTCCTTTCTTCCTCTGCGCTGTCCAGGGAAACCGCCAAGCTGTGACAACACAAAACACAACACGAGACACAAGCCACAACACCAGAAATAGGGAGGGAGGGTGGGAAAACAGTCAGGAGCCCTCAACTGATCCTGCCAACTGGTAAGTCTCCTCCCCCTCCAAGAAACCCCCACTCTTAGAAACATTGTATCTTCCTTGACCCTGCCCACCATCCTGGGCAGCAGTCATGTTCCCCATTCCCTATTCTTCCAGGGGGAATCTGATGTTTTGCAACTACAACTTCCATGATGCTTTGCCATTCTAAAGCATTCTAAAGACATGCAAAGCATCATGGGGGTTGTAGTTTCACAACGTCTGGGGATCTACCTTTTGGGCACCCCTGATCTATAGGATAGAAGTTATCAGGGATGAAAAACACAACAAATGTAGCAGTAGTAAATTAATCAAGGCAAATTGGCTAAAAGTGCTAATAAGGAGCAACCACTGTAGAGACAATTATACTGTAAAACCTCAGCAGTTAGCAGACAGGCCTGAATTTGGCTTCCTGTTTCTCTGTCCCAGGTTTGTTCTCCCTTGTCCTGCAGATATGTCCCCAATATGTGCGATGCATGCTACATGATTGTATAATTGGGGATTTACACAGTTTTGCTTTTTGAGATTCTATCTTATTTTTGTTTGTTTTGGTGGGACAGGGCCAAGTTGAAGAATGAAATATATTCATGAATAAAACTACATGGTCCATTGAACCACATATCGCACTAATTCCTGCCACAGAAAGACTTATGGAGTGCATAGCATTTCCATGTAAAAATGAGGACTGACGGAACATTCACAGCCATTTACAGCTCTCTGCACATGGTACATAATTGCTGCAATGCCCTCCTTGTTATCTAAAGTTATTTGAGTATTATTCTAATAGATTATCTTTTATGGATTGCAGGAGGTGACAATATTATTATTATTATTATTATTATTTACATGGTGCCAGCAGATTCCGCAGCGTTGCACAATGGGATAATAAGGGGAGTCAGTCAGACGTGACCATTTAAAGGGGAATCATCACTTTTACTCTGGAAATTACACCCTGAGTAACACCTTTAAATCACCTATAGCTTACGTTAACCTTTGTAGGATGAGATGCTAATTTGCCATTTTCTATTAAATCTTTATTAAATATTTAGCACCTGACATCACAGTCCATTGCTATCCTTGCACAGCCAGAGCAGGCATTGCAAATGTGAAGAAGAAATAGAAACATAATTTAAAGGGACACTATAGTCACCAGAACAACTACAGCTTATCCTTTAGGCTTTTTGCTGTAAACACTGTCTTTTCAGAGAAAATGCAGTGTTTACATTACAGCCTAGTGAGAACTTCACTGGCCACTCCTCAGATAGCTGTTAGAGATCCTTCCTGGGTCATGGCTGCCTAAAATGCATCCAAACATTCAGTGTCTCCTCCCTCTGCATGCAGACACTGAACTTTCCTCATAGAGATTCATTGATTCAATTCATCTCTATGAGGAGATGCTGATTGGTCAGGGCTGTGTTTGAATTGTGCTGGCTCTGCCCCTGATCTGCCTCTTTGTCAGTCTCAGCCAATCCTATAGGAAAGCATTGTGATTGGATCAGGCTACCACTTCTGCTGATGTCAGCAGGCAGTGGGCAGGTCTAAAGGAAACAGGGACAATCTAAGCAGCTGCAGACTTGCATACAAGTAAGATTTTACTATATTTAGGGAGGCATGAGGGGACCAGGGGGTCTAGATGGTGGTTTTAACCATATAGGGTCAGGAATACATGTTTGTGTTCCTGACTCTATAGTGCTCGTTTAATTGGTCTTCTTCTTCACATACATTCTCTGTGCTAACTGCCAGGTGTAAAGGACATCGTTTATAGCAATGACCGACAGGAACCCTAGAAGACGGATGTTGTTCAGTTACAGGATGAAAAGGTTTTGATTTCTACATTGAATTTTATTTTCCGCATGTATGGAACTTGTTTACTGCCTGGGAAGACTGACACAATATGCCGTGGGGTTTCATGGCAGAGCAGTATTCTACATAAAGTACCATTCATTCAACGTAAAGCTTCCACAATTACTTCCCAAACATAATGCCTAATGCCTATATACATCAATTTGTTCCTGGATACTCGAACTGTGCTGTCATTCAGCTCTGAGCTACGCTGCAACCATTACATTTACAAAATTATGCTGACAATCAGTATCCATATAATAAAAAAATACTAAAATCTCGAGGACATAAAGCCCTGCTAAAGCCTCCTACTGCTTATACCACTGATCTGCACCTTTGTAAAGGTACATTTACAGCAACCTTTTGTTGGTCAATCTCAATGTTGCATTCTAGCAACACAGGAGGAAAATGATGGAGCCATGGAGGTCACTCAGGAGAATACATACAGTGCAGTCAACTGGTTTATTTTTGCAGGATGCAATTACAGCTTATAAGAACCTATATAATACAGATGTTGGTGTAATGTGAAAAAATGATGTTTCCGCTTCCATGCTAATATTGCAGCACCTCTTCTTTTAAAGTTTTCTTCTTTTCATCCCTAAACAAAATTCTTGGCACAGGATAATGCACTGGTCGATTTTTAATCTGTATGTTTCATCAAGTACAGTCTCCTGCAGTTTTATAGTGATTTACAATTGAAGTCAGCCTTAGTTTGTACAAGTAGACCCTGTACGATATTGTATTTTTTTCTTTTTTTTTGTCATTTCATTTTGTTATGATGTGTATCTAATAGGACTAAATAAAGATTGTAAAAAGAAATAAATCAGCTGCTGTTTAAAAATTTGCAATGTAAGGTGTACCACAGTATCTCTAAAATGTGTATTCCAAATATTTCTGTAAAGGAAGAATGTGCTCTTTTATCTTACCTGTCTATGTCAGAAAAGCAATACATGTTTCAAATAAATGCCATTTTATTTTTTGTTTAAATAATTGGTAGCAAAAGGGGTTGAGAAGTATTTTCTGATGCAGAAATTGAGCCAACCACTGCGCTCTCTGCATGTCACATGGCTATAGGCAACAATTAATCAGACCTGTCAAAAATATAAGTAGGGTACAAATTGACACAATGAAATAATTATTTTTCTCTAGGGTTTGGACATTGAAAGGTAAGAGAAATGATGATCCTAATGCTATAAATGTGTCAAATTATAACTGGATGAGCACCTCTGTTACACATGTAAAAAAAAATAAAAAAAATTTACATTTGAACACATTTTTAAAAAATATAATTTTAAGCAAGACAACAAACGGGTTTTCCGGGTAATTTGTAACATATTGAGCGGTAATATGGTTTTAATGGTTTGATTAAATGCTTCATATCACATTAAATCAGGGGTGGGCAATCGTCGGCCCTTCAGATGTTTTGGACTACATCTCCCATAATGCTCTTAGGGCCATAATGCTAGCAAAGCATCAAGGGAGATGTAGTCCAAAACATCTGGAGGGCCGCAGATTGCCCACCCCTGCATTAAACCCTGTCTGGACTATAGCCTCAGGCCTAAGTACAGAACCTTCTATTACACTTGACACTTATCACCAATATTCCACGTAGAGGGCTGAGCGCAACTTTATTGACAAACGAGAAGGAGGTATTTAGGTCTATAATCTAAACCATGAATTTTGTATTCATGTATTAATTTTATTTTGTAAGTTGCACATCCTTATAAATATTAAAGAAGAAAACAACACCACCAGTCCTACATGGTCAGAAAATAAAAATGTAAGTTTGCAAAAAAAAATCAAAATTGTAGTATATTAAACAAAAGGAATTGTATTATTAAAATACACACTTTCAAACACCTTGCTTTAATTTTCCCTAGTTATATAATCTATCCCACACAGCAAAAATGTTTTGCAATATTTAAAGAGTATTAAAAAAAAGCGATTATCTGGGAAACTAATTCGCAAAATGGCAACCCTAAAGCAGTATGTTGCATCATTTTCCACTAAATACTGAAGTTTCTTCTTTTGTGTATATAGCATTTTAAGTAGATTCTATCATCAAACCGGAGAAAAAGTATGCAGAGAACCTATGTTGCATAGCAGCAAAAAGCACACACAGTGCAACTTGTACATTATCACAACGTGCAAACATCTGAAACAAAACTTGCGAGACTCATGCAACAGTTTGAAAGATTTTGCAGAGAACATACGCAAGGTATTAAACACAGCATGCCTCTATATAAGACCAGGGAATATCTCACCTTCATATTTTATTTAACCCATGACATTGTGGGATGATGATGCATTTTATTCATACTTTTTATCGTGGTTACATAGTAACATAGCTAAAAAGAGACTTGCGTCCATCAAGTTCAGCCTTCCTCACATATGTTTTTGCTGTTGATCCAAAAGAAGGCAAAAAGCCCAGTCTGAAGCACTTCCAATTTTAAAACAAACTAGGAAAAAAAACCTTAAACCACTTACCTTTCTCCAGCGCCGGGCTCCCTCGACACTGGTGATCTCTCCTCCCCCTGCAGACGTCAGCTTAGAATGCGCATTCAAACAGCTCATTACTCAATGCTTTTCTATGGACGTCCAGCGTCCAGCGTCTTCTCACTGTGATTTTCACAGTGAGAATCGCAGAAGCTGCTCTAGCGGTTGTTAGGGAGACAGCCACTAGAGGCTGGATTAACCCTCAGTGAAACATAGCAGTTTCTCTAAAACTATGTTTTCAGCTGCAGTGTTAAAACTAGAGGGACCTGGCACCCAGACCACTTCATTGAGCTGAAGTAGTCTGGTGCCTATAGTGGTTCTTTAATCTTCTGCTGTTTTTTCTATTTGCTTAAGTAATATTGATGTACATGTCCAACCAACTGAAACAATGCCACTTCATTTCTACCTCTCATGGTACAGACTGGAATTTGGTAGATACTCCACCGGATTTATTTCTCCTTTATTACTACATTATACAATTACTATAACAATGCTACAATTTTTACCTATGTTTTACTACTGTAATATTTTGTACTTGCAATTACACAGAGTTATTCATATTTTGGCTAAAATAATTTGGCAAATATTTCCACTGTGTCTGTTTTCCTCTACATGTGCATATTATTTATAAAATATTTATTATTTATAAAATATTTTACCAGGAAAGATACATTGAGATTTGCAAAAAATAAAAACGTATCTTTTTTATTCTTTATGTGAATTCATTGTTTTCCCATGTATGCATCAACAAAATGCGTTGGGAATGAATGGGTTAGTTACACCCTGGAGTGTCCCATGATTTTTATTTATTTGTGAAGGTAAAGAGAAGGAAATAACATTTATGATGCATTACTATGTTTTAATATAATTATTATAAAATCATTCAAAATAAAAAGATACCCAATGCCCCTTCCCAGCAGGCATGCATCAATAAGACACATACAACAGATTGGAAGAAAACAATGTCACCAGTTGCTTTTAATGATGACATCAACTGCTTTGTAACCAACATGAATAAATAACAATAATAAAGAATGATAACTACTACTAAGATTGAGGTACTGAGGTCCTAACAATATGCCTACATGAGACCACAAGAGAATGTACCCACGACCTAGTCCTGCAGGAGAACACATCAGAACACCTTTTTCTTTGGCTCAAGTGAAAACATACTGAACAATAGGGGAGATCACGGACCCAAACCATTCTCCCAGGCACCCCGACATGCCCCCCTCCTGAAGAGGAAGCAGCAAACATTAAATCTGCTGTGACTCCCATCCTCCATCTTTGAATACGCACACTAGAACAGGGATAGGCAACCTTTGGCACTCCATATATTGTGGACTACATCTCCCCTGATGCTTTACCAGCAATCAAATGTAAGAGCATTCTGGGAGATATAGTTATAATGTCTGGACTGCTGAAGTCTGTCTATCCCTGCCCAAAGCCACACCCTCTCATGGGACTGGAAATGGAAAGACGCTCCCACTCATCAAAGCATGGTACTGCCTGCACGTAAAAAAAAAAAAATCGACTGCAACCAAGGATGACGTTACAAGTTATGCGTTATCTCGATTAAACTGGCCCCACATTGGGCTGCTAATAAGAAAGGGAGAGGAGTAACTCAATACTACAGTCACTACTCCCAAGGAACTAAAAATGGTAAGAAAATGGTGGGAAATGTGCAGGAGACAGAGACAACCCATAAGATGGAGGCCTCTCATAAGGTAAGAAGAGACCCCTCCTCATTACAGGCAACAAAGTAGCCGCTATGGCTACAATCGCTTAGGAGATGACCCCTTAATGCACAACATGCCTTCTGGGAGACCCTCCACTACCAGTGTTTTTAAAGGAGGTACTGCTCATATCCCATAAATCCTAGCAGCTGACTTATAAAATGAAAGCCTTAATGGCAGGAACTGAAGTAAATACAAATCTTAGCCGTTTCAGCCCCTGTTTTTTTATAAGTTGAAGTAAGTTAGTTCTCAATTTAGCACATATGAGCATGCTGTCCAGTGATTATATGTGCATTTATAAACCTTTAAAAAAAAAAAAAAAAAAAAAGTTGGACCTTTCAGATTCAAATTCAGAGTGCAAACCCAAACAGGAAGAACAGGAAGGAGTAGAATCTATTCCTAATTCAGCAGATGCAGGCAATGTATTGTGTTCACTGCTCAAGCAAATCCATAAATAGCTTAGAAACCCATTACCGGAAACAAAAGTATTTTGTGTTCAGATTCATTGTTTGGGAAATGGAGCAATGAAGTTACTGACATCAGTTGTGGGCATGGTGGTTTTATTATGGCAGACAATAATCACTGACTTTGAGTTTCCAGGTAAATGGATGAGGAAGGATATATTTTATCCAGATGAGTTAAAATAATAAATGTGAATTCAATTTATATCCACTGAAAGTAAAAATGGGGTGATGAAGACAAGGGTTAAAAAAATATGTAAATGGTGATTTCAGCTAAGTGGTAATTCAAGGTTTTTGACAATGAGAGATGAAGCTATTGCACATTAGTTGAATAGAGTTGCCTGATAAAAAAACAAAAGTATTCCAATTAATGGTGATCTTGTGGACCACGGTTTAATTGTAATTAATTAGTAATCCCTTATTAATGAAGTAGAATAAGTTCTAACCATTTGAATACCTCTGAGGTAAAGGTAACAAAGTGAAACATAATATACTATATCTATTAACTCATAATCTGTCAAAACGGGTTTCTAACGTTTTTTTCAATTAAAGAGGAATGTCAATTTTTCTTACGTAGTAGCAATGCACACATACATATTAAAAGGGACACTATAGGCACCCAGACCATTTCACCTTATTGAAGAGGTATGGGTGCGCAGTCTCTGTCCCTGTGAGAAAATGCAATGTTTATATTGCATGTTTAAAGGGACACTCCAGGCACCCAGACCACTTCTGCCCATTGGAGTGGTCTGGGTGCCAACTCCCACTACTCTTAACCCTGCAAGTGTAATTATTGCAGTTTTTTATAAACTGTAATAATTACCTTGCAGGGTTAACTCCTCCTCTAGTGGCTGTCTACTACACAGCCACTAGAGGGCACTTCCATGTCCCTAGCACAGGAAACCTGTGCTAGAGCGTTGCTGGACGTCCTCAATGCTTTCCTATGGGGAGCTCTAATGCGCATGCACGGCCGACGTAATCACTGGGAGGAGCGGCGACGGAGGAAGAAGCAGCGACGTGGGACATCGTCGCTGCCTCTGGTAAGTTACCGGGGATTGGGGGATGGGAGGAAGAGGGGACCTGCAGTGCCAGGAAAACGGATTGTTTTGATCCTCGAGAAAAGTACCCCTGTCTCGAGGAAGTAATTTGTATTGATTTCAATTCCAAATGAAATGTATTAACACTGATATTTAAGTTAATCCAATATTGAAGAACAAGCCTGATTATAGGTGGAAAAGAATATTTTTAAAATATATATGACACAATGTGAATATTGTATATGAAAGGAGGAGTGTATGAATTATTAATCTGATCTATAAGAGTCACAAAATGAAAATATAATAGTTACATGCAGAGGAAACTGACTGACACACATATTTATTCACTGAGAAAACTGACACACACACACACACAATGTGGTGTATCCTGGTTTTGTGCTGCCCTAGGCAGGACAAAACCCAGACGCCCCCCCCTCCCCCCCCCCGCGCCACCCCGGGCCACCCCAACCCAACCCTTCCCCCCGCCCTGCCTTCTAAATACACACACACACATTCGCTGACAGATATGCATACACTAGCTAACAGAAACACACACACACTAACAGACACTCACACTCACTAACAGACAAACACACACACACTCACAGGCAAACACACACTAACAGACACACAGTCAGACACACACAGTCAGACACACACTCACTCACTAGCAGACAGACACACACACTCACAGGCAAACACACACTCACTAACAGACACTCACTAGTGTGGCGCGCGAGGGAGCTGAGTAGACAGCTCAGAGGAAGAGCTCCCTCGCCAGCCGCCCGCACAGCGCCGCCCGCCCAGCGCCGCCCGCCCAGCGCCGCCCGCCCAGCCCAACCTGTCAGTTAGCCGCAAGGCTAACAAGACATTTGCCCTGGGCATTTGGGGGCGGCTTTTTTTGCCGCCCCATGGAAAATGCCGCCCAAGGCAAATGCCTTGTTTGCCTCGCAGCTAATACGTCCCTGCACACACACACACTTAAACACAAAGGACACACTCACTGACAGAAACATTCTCACTGATTTGACACATACTGACACACACACATTCATTGACAGACACACACAGTCACTGACAGATACACACAGTGGGCACTGACACGCACTCACCAACAAACACACTCTCACTGATTAGGTAGGCTGAACTTGATGGACGCAAGTCTCTTTTCAGCTATGTAACTATGTAACTATGATTTGACACACACACACATTAATTGACAGACACTCAATCACTGACAGATGCACTCACTCATTTGACACAACAGCCCCTTTCCCCCCTACTCCCCCAATGCAGCCCTCTTCCCCCCCATCTCCCCTAGTACAGCCCCTTTCCCCCCTACTCCCCCAATGCAGCCCTCTTCCCCCCCATCTCCCCTAGTACAGCCCCTTTCCCCCTACTCCCCACCCTCTTCCCCCATCTCCCTAGTACAGCCCCTTTCCCCCTTACTCCCCCAATGCAGCCTAACTATGTATTTGGGCAACGTAGGCACTTGCTCTCCGGGTAAACAGGTGTCTATTCTGCTTTAGCGTACAGCTTGCTGTCTCTTGAGGGGTGCTAAAGTGGCCAGCTGGCCAGCTCTTGGCGTACCCTCTGCCTTTGGTGTGCATGCCCACAGGGGTAAGCGTACCACTGGTTGAGAAACAAGGCCGTAAATCAGAGAGAATAATAATGGATGATCCTGAATCCTGGATTCTAAGGTCTTTATAATTATACAACTACACTAAGAACACCATGCGCATTAGGCCTTCCCTTTAGGAGGCATTGAATCAATGCGTTCCTATGGGGATTTAGAAGGTGCTGGACGTCCTCATGCAAAGCGTGAGGACATCCAGCATAATTTCATGGAGTTATATTGACAGTCACTAGAGGCAGTGTTAACCCTGCAATGAAAACACTGCTGTTTCTCTGAAATTGCAATGTTTTACATTGCAGGGTTAAGGGGATAGAGACACTGCACCAATTCAATTGGATGCATGGGTCTGGTTGACTCTAGTATCACTTAAGGCAAGATATGTGAACATTTTTACAAAGCACTCCTCTAAATTAATGAAAACAGGATATTTTCCTTGTGTGAGTGGTAGCATTAAAGAGACTAAACACCAAAATAACTTAAGCTTAATGAAGCAGTTTTGGTGTGTAAATCATGGCTCTGTAGTCTCACTATTCACCTCTCTGGTATTTAGCTGTTAAATCGCTTTTGTTTATGTAGCCACACCTCCATTTTGAATTCACATTTAGTGTGTTTACTTTAGAATTTCTAATCTTGTGCACTAATATTTGAACTCTAATCACACTAACAAGGCTGTTTTTTCAGCTCTTGCAGGCAATAAGAAACTTTTACCTGAAAACAAAATCCAATGAGGGTAGTTTAAAAATGTGAGTTCTTTTGTTCAGGAAGTGTATAGAGAGGCTATGTGAGTGTCAGCCAGTGGAGGCGTGTCTAGAGTTGCATAAACAAAGAGAATTAACTCCTAAATTGAACAGTGAGAATGTAGAGGGAAAGGCAGGTGTGCGCTAGCCCTGTACCACCTCATGAGGGTGAGGAACTAGCAAAAGCAGATGAACACCTCCCTGGATGTCTACAGGTGTTTCTGCTCAAATGATAAAAGGATAATTTATATTAAAATCCGCACTTTTATAAACTGTCACAAAAAACAGACAACAGATACATAAAGTACTTCAGCAACCAGAATAAGGTATTAAGGTATTTTTCTGAACTTTGTATGTGTATTGTTTTCCTGCGAAAAGTGCATGTTATCTCTACTGCTCGGGCTACTGAAGAAGCATAAGTTTAACCAACAATGGGTGGCTGGGCTTGGCTGTGAGTATCACTTGATGGCTTTCAGCCTAACACAGTGCCCATTGTTAATATGAATTGATATGGCTAGAAGGAAGCGTGTAATCTCTGCCTTAGACATACCTCCAGCAGGGACCGGGCTCTGGGTGGCCGGGATCCTTATACAATGTTAAACTACTCGAAACTGTTTTAACAATGATTGTAGGGACAGTGCCATGGACACCACTGAGATGAAATGATAATAGTGCTCCTTTAAATATTCTATGTACCTGTGGTACTGATAGCAGAGCACTCATCAGCCATGCCGCTAATAGCATTATCTTGTTCTTCTTCTTGGCATCATTGATGGCAAGTGGGTTTAGGATGGCAGACTGGCGATCCACACTGATAACAACGGTGACAAACGCGCAGGAGTACATTGATAGAAGCTTCAGAAACATGAGGATTCTACAGGCTAAATCTCCGGCTTGCCATTGCACGGTAATATTCCAGATGGCATCCAACGGCATCACAATGAAGGTCACAAGGAGATCTGCTGCCGTAAGGTTTAGGATTAGAATTCGCACATGAGACCTTTTCTTCCGACTTGTACGGGCAGCTGCCCAGAGAGCAGCTAGATTGCAGAAGGCAGACAAAATAAAAATAACGAATGTGATGATCACACGTGCTTTGGCAGCGGGAGAAAAGGTAGGGAGCTGGAGATTTCCGTGAGTCATATTAAATGAAGTTCTGTTTGGATCTTGTGCACAGATGTTGCTGTGCCAGAGAGCATTGGTGCATCCCAACCTCTCCATGTTTCGAGTGGCATTCATTTCTGCAGATAAGAAACAATCCAGTTACAGAGATAATAAAACATTTAATAAGCAATGTAAACAATAGCAGAAATGTTTCTTATTGATATATTTATTGAATGTTAAAAACTCTCTTCAGACTCAGATTGCTTTTATCAATTCTCTTTATGTTTCGGAACAAATACAATCACAATTTCACAGCTGGCCACTTCATCATAGTAAAAAATACTTTAGTATCAGGGCAGTGGGATTATATAGGACCCAGTTCCTTTACCATATTTTCAGAGGAAACCGAGTTCCTAGATGTCTTAATAAAATGATGAAAGGGCCATTGCATTATTCACACATAACAGTAAACATTTGGAATGTGATCTACCTGCATTATTTTGTCTAGATTTAGGAGTGATTAAAAGGCTATCTTTATATTTATGATTGTGTGTAACACTGTAAAATAGATATTAATTGCTCATACTATGTTCTTCAACTAGTAAGCCACGATCAACAACGTTTTATTCCGATGTGCAACATCAGTTTAAAAAACACATGAAGCACTCAGTACACACTTACAATTAGCAAAAGGTTTTCCTTTAAGTGGAGGGTGCAGGGTTAACCCTCGTTTCACCAGTACCAAACAAGTATCTGTTAAGAGATAGGTATAGCACACGTCTTCTTTTTCCAGGGGTTAGCACTCCAGTTTATTGGGTTAAGCACACAGTAAGCAGAGGAGCCCCATTTGTGGTGCGAGGAGTGCCTAATGTGCTTGCAGTGTTCGCTGAGCATGCGCATTAGGTCCACCCCGTTTGATGATGTAGGAGGAGGCAAAGCGTAGACCCAATGCTGAGGGACATAGTTGTTGGAATTGGGTTAGTATATAAAGGGTTTTTTAACCCCTTCTGAACTAGAGGTGGGGGCGCGAAGGAGGTGGGACGAAAGGAATGAATCTGGATATCTCACCATGCTGTGCATAGGTGTTAACAAGGGAGGGGGTAAAAGCATGTATTTGTTTAATAGTAATTTAAAATATTACATTGCTCCCTAATACGTAAAGCTACTATTTTACTCTCTCACAATACAGTCCCTGTGCCACCCTTCATATACACACATACATTACATCACACCGACACACACACTACATTTCCTATAAACACAAACTTAATTTTCTATATACACATTGCATTCTCTATACCATGGGTCGTCAACCTGGTCCCTACCGCCCACCAGTGGGCGTTTTAGGATTCCAGGTGGGCGGTAGCAGAATCTTCCCTCCATCCAGAGAGTTGAACGCTCTATTCATCTCTCGCGTACTCAGTGGTAAGCAGGAAGTGCGAGGTTGCAGATGCGAGTGCATGAAACCGCGAGCGTATGTGCCTGAATGCGCATGTGCGCCCATATCGCGCGCGTACGCACGTATAAACGCGGGTAGAGGAAGGGGAGGAGTTGGAGTAGGTAGGGGGATAGACAATAGCAGGGAGTGGAGTACTTGGAAAATAAGAGAAAGAAGGAGCAGAGTACTAGTAGAATATGAGAAAGGAGCAGAGTACTTGTAGAATAGAAGAAAGAAGGAGCAGAGTACTTGTAAAAAAGGAGAAGAGTACTTGTAGAACAGGAGAAAGAAGGAGCAGAGTATATGTAAAAAGGAGAAAGAAGGAGCAGAGTACTTGTAAAAAATGAGAAAGAAGGAAAATAAAAAATATAAAAAGGAAAAGGAGAGAATTGTTGTTGGCTAATAATAGTAAGTGGGCTACCTAGCTCAGCCTTCCTGCTGGGCATTGCTATAAGGAAGGTTAAAAAAAATAGAAAAAAGGAAAAAAGAGGGTGGGGGGATTGAGGAGGGAGAGGAGGGGAGCTGACGCACAGATGAGAAATCATATTATGAGCAAACAGAGAAATCGTCTGAATATCACCGAAAGAGGAGACCTTCGTTTGTTCCTTACGAAAATCGAACCAGATATTTAGTCTTGCAGCGTCAACCTCAAGGATCTCATTAATCACTAATTAGAGGTAATTTCAATTTACTTTGTTTTCTCATTAAACTTTATAAAGTTAAAACATTATAAACATGCATTAAATAGAAATAAAAAGATAAATGTACGTACATTTATTTATTTATTTTTTAAAACACCCTCCTTTCTAAAAAATATCCTGCACTTACGCGAAAACTGGTGGGCGGTAAGGAAATTTTTCCATCAAGAAAGATGCATCAGTAGGCGGTAGATAGAAAAAGGTTGGCTACCCCTTTGCTATACCAACACACTCTCTACAACTACTAGACACACACATGCAGGGCCGGCGCTACCTGTAAGGCGACCTAGGCAGCTGCCTAGGGCGCAACTTAGCAGGGGGCGCCAGAACCCTGCACCAGGAATCACCGGTGCGGCTACAACATGCTGCACCGCCTGAGCGTTTTAGCAAGCCTTAGGCGGTGCAGCACTGCTGTATGGAGGGCGGCCAGATTTGAGTGACCGGCAGGAGGGAGGGGGAACTAAGGACCACTGGGGGAGAAGGGGGGAGTAAGGACCACTGGTGGGAGGAGGGGGGGGACCCACTGGGGAGGTAGAGGGGGGTAAGGACCACTGGGGGAGGAGGGAGGGCGACTAAGGACCACTGGGGGAGAAGGGGGGGAGTAAGGACCAGGGGGGAGGAGGGAGGGTGGACTAAGGACCACTGGGGGAGAAGGGAGGGGGGACTAAGGACCACTGGGGGGGGGAACTAAGGACCACTGGGGGAGAAGGGGCAGAGCATATGGGTGGGGCATTGTGATGTCACATGGTGGGCAGGACATATGGGGGGGGCGGCAAATTTTTTTTTGCCTAGGGCAGCAAAAATCCTTGCACCTGCACACATGCACACATGCACAGACATTACAGTCCCTACACACACACACACAAACTACAGCCTCTCCATACACACACACAAACAAACCATATCACTGCCTTATAGTCACACATTATATCACCCACAAACACAAACACCACATCCTCTTAGTTTCAAAACCCTTTTTTCTTGGTGCAACTCAGAAAGACATATTTTGGGACCTTCCATGTATAATAGTAAGTAAAATGTAAACTAACAAATTCGTTAGGCTTCAGTGCTACCAGTGTCTTAAAGTACAATGATCTAACACTCCTTTCCTGAAGAGGTATTCTTTAAACAGTTTAACTATTTTACTTTATTTAAATCCTGACATTTTTGTTTGTATCCTCTTTCTGTATAACTCTGCCTTCTCATCAAACTTAAAGGGGCATGCTAAACACCATAACCACTACAGCCTGCTGGATGAACACGCTGCCATTGCAGTGTGTCAATGCACATTATATGTTGTCACAATTTCAGGGCTGTTGCCCTTGACACATTAAATTATTTTGCAGGTTTTGTGATTGAGACACGTGCAATTTTTGAGTCCTCTGGATTGTCTTGGTTTGTTAACAGAAATTGTAGATATCAAAACACTAATTTTTAGACAGTAATAACTGAGACATAGTGCTAATTGCCAATAAATGTTTTATGATTCATCTTTGCAGATGCACTTGTAACAATGATTTATTAACTCATTCTAAGATTTTTTTTTTTTGTTTTGTTCATTTCTGACTTTCAGCTGGCTATCATTATTCTACAAAATACTGTGAATATATAAACCACTCTAGCATAACCAAATATACCAATATTTTATTAACTATATACCTAACAATAAGTAACTTATTTCAAAAAGATAAGTACAACTATATACCTGTGTATGTGCTTACATTCCAACTGCTTTAATTAATATCAATAATACATATATTAGAGACAGTACTATATGAATTCATTTTATTCGTCAAAATCATTTCTGACGGACAAGCAAGTTGGACTGCCATTTTACACCATTGAGTAAAATATTGAAAATCACCTAAACTTGTGTTATAGGTCACCTATAACATGTGTTCTGCTTCCTTTTTAATTGAATTTTAAAGGGATGCTATAGGCAGCAGACCACTTCAGCCCTATTACACTTAGTGCTGCAATGTAAAACGTAGTTCTAGAGAAACAGCAATGTTTACATTGCAGCACTAAGTCTGCCTCCAGTGGCTGTCTACCTCCAGTAGGAGGTAGACAGCCACTGGAGGCGCTTCCTGGATCCTAACAGACTTTTGGTCTGGTAACTGACTCTGGACGTCCTCACGCTCTGCATGAGGACATCCAGGTGATATTTATTTCCCATAACAAAACATTGATTCAATGCTTTCACATGGGGAGGCCTAATGCGCAAGTGGCACTCGCCGGGCATGTGCATTAGCGCCCATCCGTCAAGGGATGTCGGAGGAGGTAGAGGCGCAACTCAGCACCAAGGGACATCAGTTCAGGGATAAGGTAAGTAAATAAAGGGTTTTCAACCCTTTATTCACAGCAGCAAGAGGGTAGGGGGTGCGTGAGGGAGGGGGTAGACAGAGGGAGAGATAGTGCCGGTAATACAGCTTTATAATTCCTGGCACTATAGTATCCCTTTAAAGATTTGGCAACTGACATCATAATTCAGTATAGACAAGGCGAATCTAGGGGTAGCATTGCTAAAGAAAAGAAGAAATGGAAACATTGTTTTATTTCTCTTCTTCTCTGTATGCGTTCTCTATGCTGACTGCCAGGTGTAAAGTATAGAGTTTAGAACAATGATTGGCAGGGAATTAAGATGGAGGCACCCAGTTAAAGGATAAAGAGGTGCGTATTTTTCCATTTAATTTTATTTTTCACACCTTGCAAGTACATATTTGTTAAATGTTGGGATAGATAAATATATTACTAAATACAAATTATAAACTAAGAAACCAATAAACAGCTTTGTTGGAGGGACAGTGGAGTAAAGTGGGTGGGTTATGGCCAAATGTGGGTGAAATTTTAGCAAAAATGGGGAGAGCTATAAAAAAAGAGTGGTTGGCTCTTATATAACAGGAGTGTAGCCGTGGATGGGAATAGGGTATGTATATTAAATCACTTCTGCTCATCATGCGATTTTCTATAAAAAAGGTAGCAGTATGATCACCTGCCAT